ACAATTTCCAACGAGGGTATAAAATATGAAACGACAAGGACGCTCAATCTAGGAAATACTGCCTTTCAGGGACAATTCTTTGGTCACTACTGAGCACCTGTACACTCAATTAACAAACTAATGGGGCTTTAATATGTTTTTTTATGATCATTTACTAGGGTAAACGTTGTATGTACGCCATTGCGTGCCTATGTGTCTTACCTTCATCTTTTTCCCGCCATTTTTTAGAACCAGGACCAACTACAGGACCAACTCCGCCATTAACAATCAAGATAACTGAAACGGAGGGAACGCCGACCACAGAATATGATTCTTAATTCCCCTGATGGCAAGTGGAACGCGTAAGGTGAATTAAAAAACACTTCGTATCATTTTAGAATAGCCAGCTGAGTCAGGAGTCCATCGCTAGAAGCGTGCAACTCCCATACTAAGCCTGAGTCAAGGCATTTTTACAGACCGGGCTATTTTTAGGCTCCTTTTCCCTCGAAATAGGTCAGTTCCAGTCTACATAAACGCGCATCCGTAAGGAAAAAAAATTGGCGGTTTTTCTTTTTGTTCTTCCGATGAAATGATGACGTCAGTTAAAAATAAACTCCGTTCTTGTGATTGGTCGTTGATGTTCCTGCGGGGGTCTGAATTCGCGGTAAATTTAAACTTAAAATAGATCGGTCTGTGAAAACGCCTGGACAGGAATATGGGGTAGTTGCACGCTCCTAGTGATGAACTCCTGTCTAAGTCTAGCCCGAACCCACCCCTCGAGGAAATAAACGGAAGGAAGGGCTCTAGCCATCCCGTTTGTCCTTGGTGATGGGTACGGGCTACATGCAGGCTATTAAAGAGGTGCTTCCCTGTTAGTCGCAATCCAAAACGTTTTCTTTCTCTAGATGCTAACGTTAACCCTAACACTGAACCATGTAGCCATAACTGTCACCTTTAAACTACACACTGAGATATTCAAGTCAGACAATCGTCAAACGATGGAAAAAAATAAATTGGGCTGAAGGACCATCAAGGAAAAAATTCGTTTCAATAGGCGGACCGAATTTTCGAATTCGTGAAACATTTTCAAACTCTTTTTGGTCTGAAAGTCCTTTTTTAAAAATATTTCAGTTACGTGGTCTACATTTTACATTTGTTTTGTTAGTGCTCGCGACAATTGTGTGGCTGGGGCCCGAAAAGGTAACGGTACTATGGTTACAGACTAGAAGTTTCTAAATTTTTGAGTTGTAATTCTTTTAAGATACTAACAGCCCTTTCATGTATACACTCCAAAATCTGTTTTTTTTAAACCCAATAAATTGTTTCTGACTCCAAGAAAAAAAATTGAATTGCAATATACCTGATTATCGGGCGAAATAATTGCTTTGAGCCTACTGAAAAACTAGAGCTACTTAGCCTAACAGACACTTCTATAAACTTAACGATTTGAACGTAAAATTTAATATCTTCATGTTAGTCTAACGAATTCTTTTTGTTTTAATTAATTGCAGATACAGTACAAGCAAAATTAAAATTGTTCACTGAAGCAATTCCTTATGCAAAGCAGTGACATCTTTTAATTATCGTAGTGCTAAAAAGCTCATTTATTTACCCTATGTATCCAATAGATAAATAGCTATGAATAAAGAATTTCGAAAGCATACAGTTTCAGTATTTGGCTCGTGTGGGATTACAGCTGTAAACATTGGCAAAAGCACAGCAACTGGCTCACTCGACAGAGTTACAATAGACATACTCGAAAAGCCATGCAGTTACAGCTCTACTCTATCTAGCATTTGAGTCCCGGGGGGGACTTCCATGTAAAAAGGACGGGGGTGCTCGTCGGAATTTTTGAAAATAAACCCCTAAAGGTAGCAAGATCCTGTTTTGTGGGCGTGGCTTGAATTTTTTCTCACCCCTAAGAGGTACCAATTCCAAAACAATACATTAACTACTGTCATATTTTTTTCGGTTCAATACCCTTAAAGGTACTGCAAAAGCTCCCGCTGTGGACCTTTTGAAGCACTAACACTCTAAGAGGTGCCAAAACCCCTAAAAGGTAGGACGAGCACCCCGGTCTTTTTATATGGGAGTCGCCCCACGGGTTTGAGTCTCTCCAGTTTTCGATGCTAATAGCATGATCAACCAATCATGACCCAATCAGAGAAGTCGCTTTAAATTAAATTAAATCATGCAGCTAGGCCAGGCGTAAAAGTATCGACTGATAGAAAAAGGGAATCATTCTTATGCTAAATACTCCTCTGCTACCTATATACCTCGCATTTTAGTAGCGTATAGATTGTAACGTAGGACCCAGGAGTCCCCCTGAAAATCCTACGTAGAAGAACTTGTTGCTGTAGGCTTTGGCTGCATATCGGTTTGACCAGATATGTTTGATCGTGCCATGGTTTGCATTTTTGCAGCACTGCCAAAATACTCTTGGCAAGACCAAGCGAATCTGATACGCTGCCGAACAGCATACTGAGTATTCCAAACAAAGTACGATCGATTAGGTGTCTACTCAGTGACTTAACATCGCAGGATATCGAGACAATACACACGGCTCTGATTGGCTAATTATGAATATGGATAAGGTGATGCAACGTAGTCGAGTCACGTGATAACCAGCAAGATTTCCTCAGACAAGTCGGTATTCAACTCCACATAAATTCGACGCAATAATTAAGCCTTTATCTTACCAAAAACGACGTGTCTGTACACCATTTTTCTGCTAACACGAGGAATTATCAGTTACCATATTCAAAATGTACAACACTGAGAATATCATTATTTGTTCTTGTTTAAAATGAAGTAGCTTCATCAGCGAAATCGTCATTCTCTGTAACCTTCACTACTGGGTCAGTAGCTGCAACATTTGTTGACCCATCAGGGGGGCCATCAGGGGGGCCAGCAGAGTCTCCAACAAATGCCACGTGAGTTATGCCAGCATCTTGTTCTTCTGTACCTTGTGTTCCTACCACTACCTCGCATAGCGACAACCCTTCTATCGTTGACACCTTACCAATTTCTCGATTTATCCTCGTCCCCGCGACGAGGTAGAAAATGGCAAGGGCTGTTACCAAGGCGACAAGGGCAAGAACAAATCCCAAGACTAGGCTTACAGGTTTAACAGTCCTGCCAGGCTCAGAGGTTCGTGTTGTTGTACTTTGTTTTGTGGGTTGGGA